CCAGAAGACAGAACTCTTCATACTCACCGCTGCGAGAACCCCAAATCTTACATGACCCATCTACATTACAAAGATCAATTGATACTGTTTAGGAAAATAATTCGTTTTTATTCTGGCATTCATGTGAATTCCATACACACTGTGAACGAAAGCAGGTAGCGCATATATTTACCAATACGCTTTGAATATTTTATTTACAGTGATAACAGAATTACCTACTAGTTTAGCAACCATCAGACCTCGCGTCGCAAAGTTCAAGCCACACTTTGATCATCTCTGAGTTGCGTGTGTGTTGCATACTGTTCGGGGATGTAACTATCTGGTGTATTTGATGCAGACTAATAATTAACCTTTCAATACATGTTAACGAAAATGGGCAGGGCCACACAAGGAGACTGTACCTATTTCATTACCATATGCCACCTTCATCTACTATGATAGACAACAGGTCTTTGTCTCATGTCGATCAAAGTCGACGAATTTAATTAAAGTCGATGACACTGGTGGAGCTCGTGTCGGATAAACAAAGAGTGTGGGAAACAGAAAGCACAGAGAATATTATGCGGAAACGTTATTCCTAACAGAATAGGTTTCTAGCCTTGCAGTACTGGATAGTTCAGTGAGATCATGAGGCAATTGGTGTTGCTATTATCTAACACAGAATGCTAAATAGTAATCCGTTCTTGCGTCCAGAAGTTGGGTCGTCGTTTAACACCTCACAGTTCAGCAGCTGCACATTTCCTTATGTACTGATAGAATGGAAATGTTATAAAACGTTACTAAAGTAATCTGAGTTCGAATCAACTTGCTTGAAAATAACTTCAATGCAATTTATTCAATACTTACGTAATTCCATTTAGGGCGTTTTGATAAAATTTCCTTCTGACCTATGTAACTTATATCCAAACGTTTTCCTGTAACGACTAAGTAAAACCACGTAGCACAACCCATCATGTTAGCCAGAATCTGGCCCGAGTTGTGAACTCGAGACCTCCTTAACGTGACAACTAGCCAGAATCTGGCCCGAGTTTTGAACTCGAGACCTCCTTAACGTGACAACCTTAATATCCACACGGATTCGACATTCTGTTGACGTTAAATATAAACTAAGCCACCTTACTCCCAGACTAGTTAAGTGCTGGTTCAGAAATTAAGACTCTGAGTTAGTACCGAGTGTATGATAATGTGTTACTTGGTTAGGGCTAACTCACTCCTCGTAGAGCGGTGATAGAATATATCAGAGCAATGGAGGAATGGTGATTAGCGAGGAATAATTGAATAACTCGGAGAAACGTTTTCTCCAGTGCCACAACAAATCTCATTTAAAGTCGCCCGGAAATGATCCTGGTCTTCGGCGGTAAGGAACTTGTGTCTAGCTGCCTGAGCCATGGCATGAACTTTGGACACAAATTAATATTGATAAAAGAGATGCATTTTCCTGTCGTTTGTAGTAAAATTGTTTAACGTTCGTGCGTGGTAGTGTCATTCCAGCCACGATTATTTTCAACATTAGCCAGGCCGCCTTGTTACTCCCTTAATGACTCAGTTCACAATGAAGTTTTGGTGCAATGGCTCTTACAAAGTCAATGAAACTTGAGCCGCGTCGTGACACAAATACGAAATTCCTGTTACAAGAAGTCTTCACAGTACCAGTAGAATCCCACCATTGTCCCAAAGGAACAATGTTCTTATAAAGACTAGGATATATATACTCTGATATACGCTGCTGCCATTAATAACGATGGTATCAAAGTGGCGTCTGTATGTATGTTACTTTGCAGGTACATGCTTGGAAATTCGGCCGACAGTCAAATATTTCTGACAGATGATCTTAGATCCGTCATTCCTGCAGACGAGTTAAATAAAATATTAGCAAATATTAGTAAATCAAGGCATTTCGTATAAATTTCAATATTGGTATTCTGGGTTGTAACACCACCATTTATATCTCTAACGCTTTATTTTTTTTTCAAAATACCTTGCATAGTTACTGTCCCTACAATTATTGCTAACATTTCTCTTTTTATGATAAAATTTCTCTCACTTTCCCCTAGAACACTCATTCTTATCCTTTAAGGCCGATTAATTAATTATATGTACCATCTTCTTTGAAAAATCACTCTTGCCTCATTTTGTATATATGGGTTTTGTATCATTATCAAAATAAACAATATTTGTTTCCTTAAAAACATTAACCAGTTGGTCTACGTAATGATGAAGTGTGTGTTTTCTTTGCGGTACGGACTGAATTATTAAATGAGCCCGGTCTTTAAAGGTACAATTTAGCTGCACGCGACAGAGACAAGCGACCGAGGCAGGCGACAGAATTTCGAGACCGGTCGCTTCCTGTCTGCTCTCTGTACAATCGTATGAAGTACAATTACGAGCGCGAGACAAAGACAGGCGACAGAGACAAAGCACAGGAGACCGCTCTCGGACCAGTAGTGTCTCGCGACGGGCTCAGGCAGCATGTGTGTTGTTGAGTAAAATAATGGCAGAAATTAAATTTACTGGTGACCAAGATGAGCAATTGGTAGAATTAGTAGCAGAAAACCGACCACTGACCACCGACAGAAAGATCCTTCTTCGCGTCTGGTTTTGAATATTGAACTCATAGGTTTTCTTTGTTTCTTTCGCAACAAATAACACAGCAACACATCATCTTCTTCTTTTTCTTCGAGTAACCTTCTTAGAAGCATTTTTGTACTCATTTTTCACAGAATATGTGCACGTATGTCTCAACAAAACAAAGAAAACAAACACTTTGCCGCATGTCTCGGTCGTCACCTCAAAAGTGTGTGGCGACAAGCTGCGATGTGTCCGTCTCCCGTCTCTGTCGCCTGCCTCGGTCGCTTGTCTCTGTCGCGTGCAGCCAAATTGTATCTTAGGAGTTACATGATTAGTCATCGAAGACACTCTTGGCAGGTAGTCAAGTTTCGATCGATGACTTATCAGTGAAATCAATATAACGTCTCTGTTCTTCGTAGTGTCTCGTTTCTGTCAATCGCGTTGTTTCCTGCAGCATTTTGGGTCCATACTGTTTTATATATATCAACCGAAGTCAAGGCCCTGGATATCAGACCCCGAGAAAGGGGTTGAAAACCGACGCACTTTTATCGGCTCGGAGTCTGGCCGATGAGAGAAATGCCCGCTTATAAGGTGCAACGCGTGCGTAAGGACATTAGCAATACCGAGCTAACGAGATTATGAAAGCTCACCGAAACGTGAGGTAATTATCTGGTGGTAAGAGCTGCAGAAGCAACTCATTACGTTTGCCATGTTTGCAGCACGCAGTTCGGAAACTAAACTACTCAGCGAACTAGAAACTCCGCCTTCAACGTGACCAGAAAATGCAGACATACCTCAAAAAGTATTAATGATGTCTGCCATGCGATTACAAGTTATCAGTTCCAAAAAAAATGTTGTCATTTTATCGAAAATACTGCCGACCTTAATTTTACCATTTGCTTTATGAGAGAGTAACGCAATGAATATCACAAATTACAAGTATATGAAAAAAATACCCAAGACTGTATTTGGACTGGCCAAAGATGAACTCTGAGATTTCTACGGACCACATATTATTATTATTATATCCCACCTATTCACCACTTTATGGGGTATGTACTCCCATGTACCCGAGATAGACCTTGTCCCTAAGGTACATAGGGAAGCAGCTATTTCCGGGATCCATATTGTTTTTAGCAAGTGTCACATGTATTATAAAATGTTTTACAATACATGTGACATATTATTATTATCATTATCATTATTAATGAATTTAATTTAATTATTATCATCAGTTCTGTTTGCTTATATATGAACACACTACGTCCTTACATGTAATGCTATATTGAATCAAACCTGTTAATTAATCAGATGAGATTGCACATTACAGTCGGCGAATGTCAAACATGGCGGGAAGCGGGAGTCAGCAAACAAGTGATTACAACTGAGGAAAACAGTCTTTCTGGACATTGTGCCGTGTAGACTCGTAGTCGACTAACGTTTCGGAGATGCTGTCACCATCGTCCACTGATCTCTCTCTTTCTCTATGACACACACACACACACATGTGATTTCTATGGTTACTTTCTCTCATCCAGATATTGGCAAGTCTGAATGTCTCTTTCACTAAAACGGAATTAAATAAATATTGGTATCAGGGAATACATAACCTACAGAAATGATTGTTTTTTGACCTAAAGATGAAACCGGCTATTGGTCTCCCCTGGGGCGTGGGGTGACGTGGTGGTTTTACAAGTTATTGTAATTTCATTAGGCTACTGTTCTCTATAGCGCATGACTATTTGTATATGTCGAACGTTCGACAAACTATCTGCATCTTTGTCCCGAGTTACGAGTTGAATACATAACGAAGTATGACTATTGTGGCATTTACAACAGAGGAAAATATAAAATACAA